GTATCTACATAAATATATATATTTATAGGGGTTACTAAAAAATAGGTAGGTATTTTTTTTTTTTGGTGCACAATCACAACAAGTACGTGTCAGTCATATATACCTGACTTCAATAGCTTTGGAATTGACTATAAATGTGTAACCTAATATTGTGAATTTTCATTATTTAAATTTTAGATTCTCAGCTCAGCGAGGAACGTACTTAATATTATTAATATGATTCGCAGGGCTTTTTATTGAAATTTTGTCTGTTTGTCAATAACTTTTTCTTTCAAAACTCTTACTCTAATGAAAAAATTACAAGAGAACTTTTTTTGTAAATGGAAGCCAGTGTTTAATTTTCTTTGCAGTTTTCAATTTGAAAAGAGACGTATAGGAAAAACATAGACATTTACGGTGATAATGTTTTTATTATTTTAAACATTTTAAAAACTATAATGTTTATTAACTCTGGTTAATAAATTTAATAGATTTCTGAATCTCATGTTCTAAATTTCAAAATTTGCATATTTTCTAAAAGAATAATTTGTTTAGTTGTTTTCCAAAAAAGTTTAAATTTTAATTTTCTTTGTGGTTTTCTTAATAATTTTGAAAAATAGAGAGTAAACGTAGGAAAAACGGGAAAGTTTACAGCTACCGTTATGCTTAATTTTTTTTCGATTTTGTTTGTTATAATTTTATTAAAAATAACTTGAAACTTTCACAGAATACTTATATATTTAAAAATATTAGTCTTTTACAAACGTAGTAAAATGTTCAACAAATTCTAGTGATTTTCGAGATATTTATAGGCGTTTGATATATTCTAGATTTTTGTTTTTTGGTTTACTAAAATTGTTTGGTCTTTCGCACACTAGGCGATTGCCATGTGATACGATTCGTGCGTGATTTATGATATACGCGATATGAGCAAAAAAGATGCTCTATAGAAGTCAAAATACAAGAAGGGAATATTGAATTATTTATTCCTATACATTCAAAGAAATCGCCACTGCCGGCTTTATGTACCTGCCAAAGAACTGCAGGTAACCGACGACGTTGGGACGTCAAATTTCTGAAATTGTATAGAATGTCAAAAGAATCCTACAAAGAAATTGTAATAATTGTTTCTCCTTGCATGTATCAGAAGACCATAATTTCGAGAGAATGTGTGGGTGTCTCCGTAATTAAAATAATTTTGTATCTATGTAAGTTACGTGCGATCGGCACTACGTGACGTGACCAACACTACCGGTCGCACGTATCGTCCGTCACTCGCGTCACAATCGAGTCGTTATAATATTGCGTAATATTTATGGAACCTCATTCACTTCACTTGGAAATCGCAAGAGGGCGAAATCGCGTCGCATGACAATCGCCTAGTGTGCGGAGGGCCTTAAATTTATGTAAATTGCAAATAGAAACAATTTCGAATACATTTTAAATTTATAAAATTGTTTTGACCGAACAAAAAGGCTTGGACATTTGGAAAACGTGGTTCATTATAATGATACGTCGTACTTAGAGGTAAAAAAAAAAAAAATTGAACCTAATATAGTACTTTTTTTTTCGAAGTTCAGATCTTGAATAAAATCTTAAATCGGCATTTTAAATCATGTATAATCGATTTTCGATCAGAATCGTATTTCGTTAACAATGATTTATCGTCGCGTATAGATACGAATAAAATAACTTTATATGTATCCTACTTTCCTAACTTTCCCGTCTTTATGCTACAACACGGCACACCCATCAGCAGTATCAGCTTTTTTTGTTTTTACAGCGCATATTTCTTGTTTGTTAAAATCATAAAATGAATGTTAAATGTAAAATGCAGTATCAAATAAAACCTTCCATAAACTTATAAAAGTATACAGGTAAGTAGTTATTTATTCTGAATGATATAATAATTAAAACAGTATAGTTTAATGTTAATGTCATAAGACTAATGTAATACTATTACAACTTTCGTTTGTAGACATTATAAATGAAAATATTTTTATGAATATAACAAAATGGAAATAAAATGTTGATAGCACCCTTAAAACATAATATTTATACTGCGCGATAAACAGTTGCGTCTCACGGGCAAAATTAAAATATTAAAATATTGTAACTGAAAACATCACAGTAGCGTGTAATGCGAGTCAAAAATTAAAATATTTAAAAGCACGTTGCGTCTTAATAAATATTGTATATAATTTTCTTATTCTCATTCACATAATAAACTCGCGGAGTTTTAAATTGTTTCCCGCGTCGTCGTCGTTGTGAACGTGTTACGTGCCGAATTTGTCTTCATAAATATTTTACGATTATCATTTAACACACTGTTTGGAGGATGCGTTTTCGAAGTGATTGAGTCAATTAAGTGATTAAATAATTGTTTTATGGTACACGTTTATACATCCATTATTACCCGTTGCATTGTAGGTATTTTATTTATCAAATTAGATTTACATAATATCTGCAGTTATGGTGATTGCATTTGTCTCGCCGTAGGTTATAATTTTAAATAAAATATTGAATTAATTAATATTGAAACGGCACCTCTTTAGAATAATACATTAAACATTTTTATCAGATTGTTATTTAGATATTTAAGAATCGAATCGAATGAATTTAAATTACTTACGAATATTATTGGAAGTTGATCGTACTTGATGTAAAAGAATTTTTCGGTTTTAAAATGTTAATTGGTTAATTACTTTGGTAATAAACGAATTTATATTTTTTAGAGTAGGCATATCAAAAGACACGTTCCACTCTGTCAACTTGGTATTTTTATTTTAATTTATATCGACGAATTTATCTACATATTTGTCCTTTTAGATTCTGAGTGTAGCGAAGTAGATTTTGGTTTTACAAATATGTTTTTTATTATTATTTTTTTTTTCTGTTGACAACTTTTCTACCAAAGAATTTGCTCAGATTTTAATGTGTAGCAACTTTCTGAAAGTAAATCGGCGTAAAGAAGTACCTTAATGAGGTCAGTTTTCGATTTTCTCAAGAGTTATCCCATCAAATGTGAAGAAATCGAAAAAAAACCGACAATTTTTCTACCAGAAATTTTGCTCCAACTTTTAATGATAGCCATTTTTCTGAAAGAAAATTTCACTGGGTTGGTACTTTAAACAGTTCGGTTTTCCATTTTTCCTGGAGTTTTTTCAATAAATGTGAAAAATTGAAAATTACAAAGGGAAAACGGAAAATTGTACGAAATATATTTGTATAATATTACGTTTTATTTTTTTTGTGGATAACTTTTCTACAGATAATTTTGGTTCAACTTTTAATGATAGCAATTTTTCTAAAAGGATATTTCACTGGAAAATTACTTTGGACTGGTCATTTTTTTGATTTTCTCCGGAATTTTCTCAGCAAATGTGAACAACTGAAAAAAAACACGAGAAAACCGGGGAAATCGGTACAACAATAAACAAATATTATTAAAGGAAATATGTCGAGCCTATTAATTTATTTTACCATAACATGGCATATATATTGTTGACAAAGTATCACTTTTAATTGAACTCCGTTCAGAATCGTTTTTTCGTTAGCAATGGTTTATCGTTGCTTACAGATGTACATTAAATTCCCATCTGTATACAACCTTCTCTACTTCCTGCACCCGTCCCCATTATCTTAACTTTCTTTTTTTAAATATTTTTTTTTTAACCCATGTGAAAAGATTTATTCGCAACACTTACAATCCTATGTTTTCGTGCTTGGTTTTAAGATATTTGTTTATTTTATGTTTTTATTTTGTTTTCATTTCTATCCTACGCATTACCGGTAAAATGCATAACAATTATAGGTACATATTTTATCACTGGTGTACTTATTATAAATAAGAGTAAAAAGAGCTGATTGATGTACTATACTGTTGTAGGTGGAAAGTTGAGAAGGTAGGAACACAGAGTTATTTAATTTATAAATGTACGCAACAATTAACCATTGGTAACGAAAAACGATCTAAGCGAAGTTTCGTTATACGAGTACATGTTCTGAAATGTTGTAATTTTCGTCAAAATTCGAACATAAAATTCGTATAAAAAAAGTACTACTAAATGTTTTTTTTTTTTTTTTGCTCATTAAGAAATACAATAAAAATTACTTTCACGATTTTTGTCTAAATTTGAATTTAAACAAAGCTACTAAATTAAGCTCAATATTTTGTTTGACCAATAAGTAAAACTCATAACGAATCTTGTGTTAAATTTTCAAGCATTTCTGTATGGCCAAAATAATTGTATGTCCACACAAAGAAACAAAAGAAAAACCAGAAATTCTAGAAAACGTCAAATACCTATTAATTGATAAAAAATTGCCAGAATTTGATTACGTTTAGAAAAACTACTATAAGTGTTCTATGCAAATTTTAGGTTTTTCAATTACTTTTGAAAAAAAATAAAAACAAAAACGAAAATAATTAAATCTTTAATGCTGTACTTGTTTATCCGTTTTTTCAAAGTAGAATTATATTCAAAAGGAAAATCAAAAAATTATCTTATTATTGATCCACCTAGATCCAAAATATAATACAAAAGTATCTTTCTGTGAACTTTTGATTTGTGCGAGATTTCTGGTACAAAAATTGAAAAAAAGAGTGATGATAATAAAAAAAGTGCACATCATAGTAAAATAGATAAACTCTTCACTACCATTAAAGTGTAAAAGAAATATTAAAATAAAAAAAGGACGTGAAATCTTACATACCTAAATTTACGTTTAACACGTCTAAGCATTTGAAACGTATTTTTCTAATTTGTTTTAAAGATGCCAAGATAATATTGATAGTAAAAGTCATACGGTAATTCTTTACAGCTGACCAAAATTAAAAAAAAAATATATATCAAACAGATAAACAAACTCCTTCGATACACTACCATTATAGTTTGTTATCTAATTTTGTAATTGATTCATTGTTGACCACCAGCCGAACTTAAACATTGCCATTACAAAATAAATCACAATTATTAGTTTCGAGCAGTAATAATCCTGAAAGAGAATCGCTAGATAAAATGGATTCCAGTAACCAAATAGCGGGTTCAACCTTTTCCGTTTGCGAACTTATTAGGAAGTTCGAATCAATCGAACAGACGACATCCCAGCAATTGACGAACGACGCTAACGACCTCGGAATGCGATCGAGAGGAAACGATAGTTCTTCTGGTATCGGAAGAAAATCCGGAGGAAATCGGATGCAACCAGCCAAAGCAATGCACGGTCGTCGTCAAATCGTTCCAAAAACGATGGTGGATTTGGCATTAGATGATTTCTCGTTTGTGTGTCCGTGTTGCAATCAATGTTATCGGTGTCCGTATGCCAAAAATGAACCAAAAGGTATCACTATTTCTTTACGCCAGTAAAACCTACTGAACGTTGGGTTTTTTAACTTTTAAGAAAACTTTGGTACACATTTATTTGAAGCCACCTATGGTTAAATATTACTGTATATATGTTATAATAAAGGTATACATTTTATTTATTGCATTACAACGAAACGTCTACGTGTTTTATTTCTAATTTTTCTTAAAAGCTATTATAATTCGTAGTAATGTAGTATACAATTTTTCTAAAATTTTACGCATTTTAGTAAACGATTATATTTGCATGTTTACCGTTTACCCTATGGTTGACTTATTTAAAATAAACGCAATGTATAACAATAATGAAAATAATATATTTTTTAGAATTTGAGTAAAGGGTAGAATTTATTAGTTTTACTATAAGATTATATCATGTTTGTTTTTTTGTTCGTATCTATTATTCGGTAAAACATTTTGAAGGAACTTTCTTATTGGATGTTTAATCCATTAAGAAGGTTATTTATTATATTTGTAGTTTTCTTAGTTCATGGGAAAAACGAGTAATTATTCGTAAAATTTGTGTTGATTTCTGAGTTAGCTGGGTAACAAAAGAAAAATACGACTATTAATACTCTGCTCAGAATTGTTTTTTATTAGCAATGGTTTGTCGTTGCTTACTGGGTGTAAATTACATTTATCCATACATTTTCCCTTCCAAATTTCTTCTAAAACAGTGGCACACACATAAGCGGTATCAGATTTTATTTAAAATTTACCATGATTATCAGTTTAAGCATCTTCAGCAATCAGTTGGGCATACAAGAATTGCTTAAAAATATGATTTAATGTTTATTTAAAATGTAAATTTAACTATTTTTTTTTTCTAAAACGTCATATATTTATCGAATTTTTGAATTTTTAAATTTTAATATTAATCGTTATTTTAAAATCAAAAGTAGGTAGTGATTTCAACCCTAAAAAAATAAAAACGAGAAAAAATAACGGTGAAAATACATTTTAGAACTACTTGTTTCGTAATTTGTCAAAAAAAAATGTAAATACTTGCCGAGATGAGTGTCTTACCGAGGATTGACACTGTATACTTACGTCTTATCAAATTTCTCAAAATTAAATCAAGTGTACATTTTAAAATTATTTGTTTTAAATAAAAAATATACAGCCATTATTGTTGACACGGATATAATAATAATTAGTAATTACTAAAATTAATAATTATAGGTTCCTATACTTAGGTTCAATCTGATTATATGTAATCTTCTAGCAGAATGTGTATTGGATTTATTAGGTACTAGAGTAGCTTACAAAAATGAAATTTATGGTTTTTTATGTAAAAATAAAACAGTTTAGGTAATGAATATTTTAAAAGGAATATTCACTTATAACAACTATAAAATTATAACCTAGCGGAATATTTAAATAACGCTCTCAAATTGGCCATTTCATTTTATATATTAATCAGAAACTTAAAAGGCGCAAAAACGCATTTTATATTGCATTACTGCAATGTATAGTCAATTTGTTTCGAGCGTTTTTTTTTTTTTTTAAACACCTTGAATAATCAAGAGTATAATATTATTATCTCATTTACACTATGATATAGGTATAAGAATTTAATTTTTTTAATTTTAATCATTTTGATTAGGATTATGGTTTTTTTTTTCTTGTAATAATCATTAAAAATTAAAAAAATGTATTATATTATTTATACAGTTTTTATGTAAGCATTTTATCTGTCAACGACAAAAGTGATACTTTTAGCAATGTAAGCGGAAATATTTAAGGAGCCTGGTGCAATTTTTTTTCTGTTGAGGAAACCTCAGTGTATGCAAATTCAGCACCCCTTTAAATACATTTGTGTATATTTTTAAAATTGCACAAGTGTTTAAAAAAAGAAAAGGTAAAGTAAAATGCATAAATTATTTAATCTTCTTTAATAACTTTATTTTTATAATTTTCATTCACCAATTTTAGGTAAAATATATATTTAAATACAAAATAATAATATATTGTAACGATATTTTTCGTGTTAATTTAGAAAAACATTCATTGTTTTGATAAACGATAAAAATAAGTATTTTACATTATTTTTAAAAACTTTTTTCTGTAATTATTTCTTTAAATGATAAAGTTCCGGCCAAAACCATTTCTTTAGCAATCATTGATCAACCAGATATTGTACTACGGATGTACTGAGGTGTAATTCGGATTGTACTGAAGGATCTATTAGTTTTAATATGATATGTGTTCTTTTTGTATTTGTTTAGTGCAGTGAGGGGATCATTTTTTAATTTTTCAACTGGTTTACGAAAAAATAGGAAATACCAAAAGAAAATTATAGGTAAACGTAAAATATTTAACAATGCGGCATTACTGTTTTTATTGTGTTTACATGATGTTTTCTACCAGCAATATTGCTCCAATCCAAAAATGACATGGAATCGATTTTGTTCCTATTTATATTTTGCTTCTGTTAAAGTAAGTAATTTTTTGATATTTAAAATATTTTCCATAATAATTGGAAAAAATCAAACAAAGACGAAATATACGATTTTTTTTTCAAATTACGGTCCAACAATTTCATTATTTTAAATTTTTACGGCTCATATTTTCTATTGAAAATATTACTCCAATAGAAAAATATAAAAAGATTTTTTTTATTGAATTTTCAATTATGTTGGCGTCCAAGAAAGTCGTCTTTTGATTTTCTTTTAGTTTTTTTTTAATAATTGAGCAAAGCCAAAAAATCCATGGCAAGAACGGTAAAATGTAGGAAAATAATTCCATTATTATTTTAAATTTCATTTCTTTTAAATAATTCAGTTTAAAATATTCGCAGAAATTTAAAATGTTGACAAAAAATGTATAGTAACTTTTTCTAGACGTGGTAAAACTTTCAGAATATTTGAATAACTTTTGAGCTATTTATAGGTATTTTAATTTTGCGAGTATTTTTTACGTCATTTTTATTTAGTATATGCACTCTGTAAATAAATTGTTAGACCTAACTGAAATGCTTGAACATTTGATAGGTGGTTTATTATGAGTTGTATTTAATTGTAAAAAAAATAATAATAATTAGTTTAATGCCGACTTTTTTTTTATGACAGTTTTAAAATCAAATTTTGACGGGAATTGTAAATATTACAGCCTTTTAAAACACGTATAACCGACCTCCGAATCGTTTTTCGTTATCAAGGGTTTATCGTTGGTTGCAGGCATAAATTAAATAACTTTATGTATCCCACCTTCTCCACTATCCACTGTTGTATCCTACAGCAGTGGTCTTACCCGTTCCCAGTATCAGCTCTTTTTTTTTTTTTTTTAATTAACTTTAATTTTGAGAATTTCAAATATATGCGAAATTGGTAGCCTACGAGGTACGCGTTAGTTTTTCTTATCTATTTAGCTAAGGCATTTATATGCATGTAAGTATGATGTATAATAAATTATAGATACTTACACGTAAACATTTATTTTTTTAAAATATACTAGTAATACTAAACAGGACTAATAAGTGTTAAAGTTTTGTACATCGTCATATCCAAGTCTAAAAATGAACTACCTACGTCTTAAAAAACTAAATTGAGTAATGAATCGTCCGAGTTCTGGATAAGTGCAGGGTCCGGTGCAGTCGCACTTTTCACACCGCCTTTCCGTCGGCTTGCTAATTAGGTATATTTTATTTCGATGTTGCTTAGATATAAAGAGTATTGGATGGACGGGGAAACTTAAAATTTAAAGAACGTCGTCACGAATATTTTGTAAAATATTTAATCGTTTAAACTTTTTGCTCGAAAACATTTAACGAAAGATTTGATTTATTAAGCGTCCGAGTGTTTAAGTTGTTTTTTTTTTTATTTTTTTAATATATATTATTAAAAGTTTCAGTTTAACATTTTTTTAAAGTAAATAAATTATTTCAATCGTACACGACGGACGATTTCGATACATTTTTCAAGTAGTTTTTTTTTATATATTGCAGGCGAACGCCTGCGTTTTTTAATGCGGGTGTATATTAAATGTGTTTTTGAACATTTTCAAACCGTCTTATTCGATGTTGCTATCTCGTCAACTTCGAATCGCTTTATTCGTTTTTTTCTTCTAATATTCATATACGAAGTCTGTAGTATACTTTCATAATTGAATACCTACACAATATCGTATTCCCCAATGCTGCTCATTAAACTAGTTAAGAGATTTACTTATATGTTGGAAGATAACTTATAGTTCATAACATAATCATTTCTTTTAATAAATAATTTTACTTAGTTATTCTGTTAAAATTTAAATTATCTTTTGTAACAAAAAAAAAAAAAAAAAAACCTGTATTTACGGCTGTGTTTTTTCGACGAAAATAACGTATTTTTACAAAACGGACATGTGGGCTATGTAGGGATATGCATTATAGAATACCAACATGCATCTTGTATAGTAAATATATAAGTCTAAATATTAGAGTACAAAATACGTTTCTGGTGTATAAAAAAGGATAAGTTTAAAAAGTTGCTTTTAACCTAACTAAATTATCATTTTCTCGGTCATGTGTTTATCTTTTAAAGTTAAGTTTAAATTACATTAGTTATTTCATTTTTAGAATTACTTTATTTAAACAAATTGGTTAACTTGCTCATTTTTAGTTTGTCTCATAATATGAAAAAAGAACCACCATCACCGACTTTTGTGTACTCTAAGGAACTCAACGAAAAGAATATGGGAATCCTTTTTATTTTTATAATTAAACTATGTTATATTTACTAACCCGTCACTCGTATATTATGATGTATACTTATATTATTTTAAACAGGTCTTCAAAAAAAAATTGTTTAATAAATTAATATTAATGAGCAGGGCTGGGATTTTGATGCAAAGGCAACTTTTTTTCTGGTATTTCGATACGTCGGTCCGTAAGTAAAAAATGTGTTTTGGGCGATACTGACTATTTTAAAGTATTTTTATTTTGCATTTTTTGACAAAATTAACCTTAAATGCATTTTATGAGTTTTTTAAGTCAATTTTTGCATTTTTTTGAGATTTATTAGGGCATTAAAATCCCAGCCCGATTGATGAGTATTCATTTCAATCCGCCCTCTACATTTTTTACGAGTTAAGTTTTTCTAGAATCCATGTAAAACATATTTTTTGTAAATACATTTTGTTTCTATAATATAATTTATAATTAAGTTTTAAAATTTGTTTGTGAATAAGTATTCTATATATTATATTTAGCTGTTAAAATATAATTGTAAAAAAAAAAAAAAACTTTATTAATCGGTCCTGCCGGGCCATAATTTAGCCCTTTAACGGAGGACTAAATTTTAACAGAACTTTTTTTTTCTATTGCCTTAAATTTTATTTTTTTGAGGTGGTACGTTCTCATGAAAAATTTAACCCATATATAGGTCTGGACCGCTCTCTAATACATTATATATATATATATATTTTTATATTTATTTGATGTTTTGCTCTAAATAAACCGTAGATACTTGTAACTCGTCCGTCCGTGGTTATATCCATTACTGTCGCTGTGTTCTTTTACCCAGGTAGTTTTTTATACCAAGCAGTGAAGATCGCAATAGGTACTTATCGGAACATTTTTTTTTTATGTATATATATATATTTTTTTTTTGTTTGTCCCCGAGAGGTTTGACGGGGATAGATTTTGACGTCACCAATATACTCTACATTGTTTCGGCAAATACAGTTTGTATAGGTACTTATATGCCCTCTTCCCGTTATACACTTACCTACCTCTATTCACCCTCACACCAACGCACATTGTCGCACGTATTTTATTTGTAGATCGACGTATAGATATTATAGGTACGTACACCTATATACGTTAATAACACGTTGCTTCACACATACGCACAATATAAATGATATGCACCGGTATGGTGGTGGTGGTGGTGTCGGTGGTGGTGTCGGTGGTGGTGGCGACGGTGGTGCAGATGAGGGAGGAGAGCGCAAGGCGACGGCGGTAGTGGCGGCGGCGTCGGCGGCGGCGACGGCGACGATGGGGCGGCAAACGGTTTACTCCTGCCAAAACCTCTTGTCAGATTCAGGATCGATCCTCCTCCCCACCTCGGACGCCCTCTGGCCGTCATGACCCAAAGTAACCGCTGCCGCCGCCACCGCCGGGGGATGCATTCATACGTCACACCGTCGTCGTCGCCTCCTGTTTTTCCGCCGATTCATGTGCCGCCCGGCTACTGTCTGATCTGGCCGCGTGTAGATCCGCGCCTTTTCCGTTGCCGGTCCAGTCCGCGACCGTTTTTCCTCGCGGGTGCTAGTCGTTAATTTTCGTCTTCGTGCCGTCGCAATCATCGTCGTTGACACGTCAAGTACGTACTCGTATAATATTATTAATAATGTTCAAACATTCATTTTTTATTTTTTTTGTACAATAATATTGTACAGTCTACACATTATAACTGTTATAAAACAACGTATATTTTTTTATTTTTTTTTTTTAAATGTTACGTCATGTGTCTATAGATGGTACGTAGTTTCGAACACGTGCGTTCCGACTTTAATACATTTTTACTGAGTAAATTGTCGGTAAATATTTAAACTTTTGAATATTGGACGGTCTGATGGTTTTAAATTTTTTCTTGATTGTTCAGCAGTTTGCATTAGCGATCCGAGCAAAATAAAGTTACATTATATTATAATTTTAAACGTATATATTTTATGATTTTTAACTTATTCTGTAATTATATATTAAACAATTGCGTGGAATATAGTTATTTAGACGAACTAAACGACGAATGTTAAAGTTATTTAAAATATAAAAACGTGTTTGTAACATATGGGTATGTGGGTATTATTTAACGGTTTCACATTAATTCACTTGTAATATACGCACGAGTAAACATTTTATTAAGTAAAACATTATTTGTATTTTAAAAAAAAAATACAATATTATATTAAACGGCTAAAAACTCGAAACACATTTAAGACAGTTAATGAATGTTATAGTTTTTTTTTATGCGAAACATCAATCGTTTTCTATTATAATAGTACTTTTTAATTTATTTCATAAATTATAAGTATGTAAAAAGTTTGTTTAAAAATTCTTAGGTATCGTAGAATAACAAAACTTTACGGACGAGTTTTTGTAATGTAGTTGTATAAATAATATATGCTCTAGCTCTATATATTTTGATAGAAAATGTTTGCAGTATTGCTGAAAAATCTATCTCCTATAAATAGGATTTTGACGTAGAAAGTATACAATAGTGTTTGAAACATATACAAAATATTCTTGATGGTCCGTTGAGAATAAAATATTTCGAGATACTTTCTCAAAAAAAAACCGTTTTAGTTTTATTATTTTTGTATTATTAAAGGGTTTTGACATATAATACTGGGTAATTTTTTTTGCATGATTCGGCGATTTTCTCGGGAGGATTTGAAGTGAATTTGTTTTAAATTCCGAGAAGAACGTAAAATGTATCGGTTTTATAACAATGTTAATTTTTTTTTTTATTTTTGTGAACAACTTTTCTACCAGAAATTTTGCTTCAATTTTCAAGTGTAGCACCATTGTTGAAAGGAAATTTTCGTAGTATGGTACTTTAAGCGGTTGTTTTTTTAATTTTCCGGGGGTTTTTATAATAAATAAGAAAACCGTGAAAAACGTAGAAAAAACGGAAAAATCACCGAAATTAATTTTTTTCGAATCGTAAACATTACGGCCTTTCAAAACACATTTAACTGAATTCCGCTCAAAATTGTTTTTCGTAAGAAATGGGTAATCGTTGCGTACAGATGTACATTAAATTTCCCCTCTACATTTCCTACTTCTCATTTATAACAGAGAAACCGGACATACTTCGTGCGGAGTATTCTAGTACTCTAGGTGTTTAGGAAGGTCATTTTCATTAAGTTATCTTAATAATATCCACCAGAAAAATGGAAAAAACGTACATGTAATAACTATGGTTCGATTTTATTTTTCTCGTTGAAATTCAGATAAAAATATTTGAAAAACACGATATTTTCATAAACTACTCATCTTTACGTGGTTAAATTTTCAACATATTCGAGTGATTATTGAGCTATTCATATGACATGGTATTTGATAATTTCGGGTTTTTTTTTTTAGTTTTCATTTGGTTTTTATGTGGATAATAATGTATTGGCGAACTAAGCAGAAATACTTGTACATTTTACACGAGGTTCATAGTAAGTTATACCTAATGGTCAAAAAAAAAAGTTGAGTTGGGTGAAATGAAGTCGTTTTTTTTAATGAGTGTAAAGTTTAAATTTTGACAACAGTCGTAAAACTCAATACATAATTTATTTTAACTAAACTTTCTATGCTTCAAGACATAATAATTAAATTAGGAACTAGAAAATAAAAACAGAACAATGATATACATGAGGAGGAAGGCCATCTATTGATGGGATCCAGCGATATCAATACATAGTTGTAACGTATATTAAATCTAAAAATGTATTATTTATCGTTGCATATAGATATAGATAAAATAAGTAGATATCTATATGTATCCTATCTTCTCAACTATATTACAGTGTTGAGTGTAACATACGTCAACAATATCAGCTCCTTTTTTGAAAAAAAAAAAATTTACTTATGTTTTTAATATTACATTTTGTTTTCGGTAATACTTTTTTAATTACATAATAATAATGGTTATTGTCCATTTTAAAAATTAATGAATTATGATATGTAATGACTTAATAATTAATGACTGTTTACAAGAGACTGCAAAACTCATCGTTGTGACATTAAAAGTAGTAAATATTTTATAATATGAAAATTAAGTTAAATTTTGTTATTATTGTTATTATTATTATTATATCGATGTCAGTTAATATTATTAAATATTAGATATTAATAAATAAAGACATTTTTTTAATTTTTTCGAGTGAAATATTTCTATTGAAGCCATTTGTTATAAGATTATAATAATTAATTCCGCCATAAATGACATTTTGCAATGTCTACAAAATAATAATAATATGAATCCATTAAAGCTAAATGGTTATTAATCATATACGTGTAGAAAATAATAATAATAATTATAGTACCTTTCATACTTATTCTATATAAATATATACTCGTATTATGCATAGTGCAAACAGTATCTGCCTAATTAACTGATTGTACTCAATAAATGGATTGGTGCCACATAATTATTCGATTTTTAATTTGATTTAAACAGCTCAGATTTGTTAAATAATAACTTTATAAAAATCGGTTAAGTTGTATTTGATGTATAAAACGTTGAGAGAAATGCAGTCATTTTTTTTTATGAATGTTTTAAGTTCAAATATCGTGAATAATTATTCAGCACTTCAAAATATGTAATCAGAATTGTAATTCATCGGCAATGTGTTTTTTTACATAGGTACAGATATAAATTAAATAAAATTCCGTATCCTATCTCACAATTTCCTACCTAAAACAGTGGTTCATCTATCAGGTGTATAGCTTTTATAAAATTTAAAATTTGTTTTTTTGTGTCTGTTAAAATCGTTATAACTATTGCTCGATTGTGTCGATTCAAAACAGTTCTATACAATTTAAATATAATTTATGTATAAACTCAACTACCTACTATAAATATATTACTTGGGTACTTAAAGTAAATTTGAGTTAAGTAGATTTTTGCGAAGAATACAATTAGCAACAATCTGCAAATAACTTTATTATTACTTTGTAAGCTTTACTTACAATTTTATAAAATTTGTAATTATATTATCTGTAACGACCTGGATACATTATAATGTATTATCGACGGCTATAAAAGTCTATAGAATATATTTGAAGCATCAATATTTAATTTACTTGTAAATTATTACTGCGCATCTCGGGAAATTATCTTAATTTATTATTATACATATGTCTTATTGTGTGCTATACCTGAAATTATTTTTCAAACTATAGTTTTAAAGCACTGACATTACTTGGATGTTAATTATTTGGGATCAATAATTATCGATTAGATTAGAATTAGATCGATTAGAATTACCAAACCTATATGAACATAATATAGTCAATTTTATAATTTTATAATTGGCAATGTCAATGATGTAATGATTTTTTAAATTATCGTTTAAAAAATATATACAGAAAAACCTTCTTATAACGGAATCACTTGGCACCGACTGATTTTTCCGCTATAAAAGAGTTTTCGTTATAGGGAGACTAAAATATACGTGTAAAGGTTAAGCAGATTTATCGTTGTTTTTATTTTTAAGGAGATTTCCGCCTTATAGGGGTCCGTTATAAGGAGGTTTTACTGTATATATTTTTCGGTGTGTTTTTAGTAGGACATATATTATTTTGTTAAGTTTGAACTCATATTCTGAATGCGTTAGTTTACGTAAATTATATTATGCCAATGTATAATATAATAATATATTTGTTCAGAAATTCAAATGTCGGTCGTCAAACCTAAAAGTTTAATCAGCTATCCGAATTAATTACTTATTGTGCTTGGCAAACGTTACTTGTGTACTTTACATTACGCACCGAAATTACACACACCGAACCGAAGTTTTTTGACCGTATAGTTGGGTCATTAAACAAACACCGTTTGGCCGTCGAAAAAGAAATATCGGACGCCGGGCATAAATGGATTTTGTACGCATACAGATATAATTTGAAACGTTTTATTAATTATATGATAGAGGCGTCTTTTACTATACCTACCCATACCTAGGGCTGTTCGATTTTATTGATTAATCGTAATACGGCTCGATCAATCCACGAATCGTCAGTTGAATTAATCGATAGTTAATGGATTAATCGGAAATTAATTTTCTTTATTTTGATACAAAATTATAATGGGCTCTTAATTATCAGTACACCGCGTAGACAATTTTAAATATTAAATAACAGATGATACGGGATGCTGTCATTATTAGCGTTATTGGCGGTTGGCAGAATGCACAATACAATTGATATTATTACTTTCACATAATAAAAGCTTATAAACTGTTTATTTTTTCCGTGGGTTCTTCATTGTTTGTTCATTACCATTGCAAATTGTAGTGGCATAGTATCAATCGAAAAAACCTATTCGTAATTAATCGGTTTTTCGAATAATTGCTTTTTAGAACAATCGATCAAAAATAAAATTATCAAACAGCTCTAATTAATGAGAACCCATTTAGCACCTATTGGTTATATAGATTCGATTCCACGTGTCAATTCTATAAATGTATGTACTAAAACTGAGCGATGTTTTTTTGTTCTTATATGTACCAATAACAGCTACTCTTTTAAATTCTGAGTGAAGCAAGGAATGTATTGGTGCAAGGAATGATATTTTATAATTTTTTAAAATTTTTTTTTGTACAAAATTTCTACCAGAAATATGTCTTCGGTTTTCAAATTTATTACATTTTTGAAAGAAAATTGTATTTAGTCGGTACTATAAATAAGCTATTTTTTGATTTTTTAAGCGGTTTTCATAATAATTGGGAAAAAACGTAGACTAATCAGGAAAATGTACGAAAATAATGCTTTTATTATTTTCATTTTTTTTTTTTTTGTAATTCAGTTAAAAATGTTCGTAGATACTTTAATTTTGACAGAAAACTTTTAAAATAATAAAGTAAAAAAAAAAAAATTATTAAAATGGTAGGTTAATTAATACTCGTAAATGAATATAAAGATAAAAAATGTATACATAAAAATAAAATTAATTAATTAATGAATGCCTCGAATATACTGTGATATACCGGATGATGAATTTTTAATTCGAAACCGGTCGTATAATACACTTATCATAATACTCCAGGCGACGCATTCAATCATTTATTTATTTAATTTTTATATATATACATTTTTTATTTATATGTCTGTTTACAATATTTATAAAACTTTTATTTGTCTTTTTTAGACGTGATTTTAAAACATTTTAGCTATTTTTGAGCTATTTATAGACATTTTAATTTTGCGAGTTTTTTACGTAGTTTTTATTCGATAGGTACTGTACAAATTTAACAGGAAGTTCATTAAAGTTGTACTTAGAAGTTAACAAGAAAAAGTTTAGTTTAATGTTGTATTTTTTTTTATAAGAATTTTTAATAATAAGTTTTGACGAAAAATGTAAATATCACGGCTATTTAAAACATGTATAACCGAACTCTGTTTAGAACCGTTTTACGTTAGCAATGATTACCAAATCGTTCAATTTCCCTCTGTGTCCTACCTTCCCAATAGCTTATCTACAACAGTAGCACATTGGCATATCCATCGTACGATGTATGTCCATCTAATTTATTTTATGTCGTCAAATATTTATTCTCCGTACCCCATAATTTTCTAGTTCATAATATATAATTTTACACCTTATATATGCGTAACAAATACAGTAATAATAGTATTCCGGTATTTTTTTTTTTCATCTCAAATGGTATATTTCTATTTAACTTGCAAAAAGTTTTCAAAGAACACTGTGGTAAAGGTATAGGTATACTTACTTTATGATATAATAATATTTATCTTGTAAATTTTGCAGTCAGCGGCGGCGTTATAGTGTGAGATGCGTGAATAGTAAATACATGCACATAAATCCTCTACTTATTTTAAGACACTTCAAAACGACCATAATCTCGGTTACTTTATTATAGCATAGTATAATATATTAAGCTAAGTATATAAAAATAATTTTTTTCTGTTTACAAAATATAACAGTTGAAATGTTTTTGAATAAATATATTCATACTAGAAATAAATTATCTAATAAATGTACTTACATTTTAAATAGATATCCAATTATAAACAACAATACTATGATATCCATAGTTAGTATTTGTTCGGATTTCAAATCCTTCGCTATCTAGGTACCTGCTTACTATACTGACTTACTTAAGGCGGTTGAAAGCGGATAGAATTGTGTTTCGATTTTTGAAAATTCTAATCTGGTGGGTCTAAGATAATTTTCGTGTTTTTTAATACCTAAGCCTAATAGTTTGGATTAAAATAAATTAATAAATATACTCTCAGTTGTCCAATTTATGTGTTCAGCAATTATTTGACTTCTTATAAGAAGATAAGATCTTCTATTTTTTTTTTTTTTCAAGAAAAATATTATCAATTTTTTTTCTACGAGTTTATTAAAAATAAAAACTCGTCATGCTTTAGTTAAATTAACTAAATAAAAACCGATCAAATGTTTCTAACAAAACACAGACGAGAAGTCGAAGAATTGAAGTATGTTATCGAAATTAAAATTGAGCGAACGTTAATGGATGAATTTTACTCCAAATTATTGATCTAAAACATCGTATTCGTCCGTTAAACCGGCCGTACAATATCCCAAGAGCAGTAGGTAGATAGTAGGTTTATTGAAAAGTCTTATTTTTAGATGGCCATTAAAAGGTAAGGTAAAAATTAGATATTTTCAAATTTTACAAAATTTGGAAAACCATATCTCCTTTAATCAAATAATATTAGTAGGTTCTTAATTTTATTTTTTCTCCACGGTGAATGTGTGGATTCTATTATTGTCACTCGTTTAATTTCTAAACTACCAGTTAGAGGATAGGATAGGTACAAGATAATGACGTAGTATAGTTTACAGCAACCTAGATTTAGTTTTATATTATTATAAAAACCGAATCCTATTAACATACAGATGTAGTCTACCAGCGTGTTATTACAAATCGTACGGTTTTACAATATAAACCCAATATAACAGATTTATTAGTTTTTATACTATACGGTTATACAGTGTGAATTTTTTTTTGTCACGATATCCAATGATATGAAACATTTTTTTTTAACAAATTTGATTTCTGTATTTTTTTTTCTCAATCATGTTATGAAATTTTTTTTTAAAATTTTAATTGAACACTACAAGTCTATTAATATTAAAACATATATCCCTAATTTATATCGGGTAGGTATTTGATTTTTTAATGGAACTACTCCTTTTCAACACATTAAGGAAAAAAGAAAATTTAAAAAAAAGTTATAGGTTCATATCTAATATGCGTAATATTTTTATATCGGGTATAAATTTCATATTAGATTTTGCATTCTGAACCGAGTGAGGAATGTATTGGTTTTACAATAATGTTTATTTTTATTTTTTTTTCTGCAAACAAATTTTCTGCTAGAAGTTTCGCTCTAATTTTCAGGTATTGTACCTACTTTTTCTGAAAGGATATCTGACTAGACTGACGTTTTAGGGAAGTCATTATTTGATTTTCCCAGGGGTTTTTCTAATAAATGGTAAAACCTGAAAAAACGTGTGAAAAAACGGGAAAATTTTCGAAATGTATTATTTTAAAATCGTAAATATTACACCGTTTTAAAACACGTTTAACCAAACTTCACTCAGAATCGTTTTTCGTTATCAATGATTAGTTTTTGCGTATACGATATACATTAAATATCCCCTCCACCTACAACAGCGGCCCACCCGTTGTGTGAATTATGTCCGTCTGTTTTCTTAGATTACCTTTTCCTACATCTCCGGTATAGAATTTAAATTGTTACTCATAAATCATAAATCCATAATGTTAATGTTTAAAAGCGGGGCGGAAAAAGAGCGATTGCCATTCGAAAATCAATAGTAAATAATGCGCACGGAATAAGGATATACTTTGTAAATATTGTAAACCAAAAGAGTAAAAACCCTTTAAATGATTCTATGACATAGATATTATACCTATATTATAGATTATTATATACAACACGTGTATTATAAAATCGTTGAATGATATATATAATATAGGTACGTTATAGTATATTGTTATATCGGCAATATATAACTGAAAAAAAAAACCAATCAATTTTACTCTAAATCATTTTAGATAAGCGCGGAATATTATGATTAAAAAAAAAAAAATCACCCCGTGGCTTGTATGGTGTGTTGTGCAACGCGTATTATTTGTATTTAAAATAATATCGGGAAAATTCGAAACGATATAATTATTATTGTGTACGTAGGTGGATATAAAGTTTGGCGCTTATATAATATATACTTGACCTGTCAATCTTCATTTTATAAAAATAGTTGCGATAACAAATAAAATAATAATATTTACCAGCTAATGATAATGGACAAAAATTTAAATATTAATATTCGTTAACAAGGGTTTTCCATCAAAATTGTTTAATATTTTTATTATAAGGCGTGTGCCGTGTACACGTCTCCGAAAAAAAAAAAAAGTGTTCTAATTCAATTTTGCGGTTGATTTTAAATACTGTTATATTTTAATGGAGGCCATACTAAATAACGCTGCTATTATAACTAACATTATACATGCCTGACCGGTACCTGCGTATACAAATTTACCGAATTACGTTCATATTATGTTGCCGAATTTTGTAAAACAATGTCCAGAGTTTAAATTTTTTACTCGTATTTCGATGTAATGTAAATTATCACGTCATATACTTTTACTATTTTTAAATTTTTAACAAGTTTTCGCCTTTAAAATTAATTGTACATAATAATTATGTTCTCGTTGTGAGTGTATTTATGTAGCGTAACAGTGTCCAACACCTAGTTTTCGTGTCTTGTCCGTAACGCAATGGACAATGCCTATGCTATGTATACAAATGTTATAATATTAAATATTCATTTCGCAACCCCGACTTTTTAGCGGAAAAATAATTTATGATAATATTATTATACGTGTTTCTAACTACCTTATACTAGAAAATGTTATAGTTTGCATAAAACAACATATCATTCGTTTTAACGAAACGAAATTTTTCAAAATTTTCTGAATGTTTTTTTGGGGATATTATAATGTGTCTTGAATAAGTGCTTACCTCTTAAATAAGTATTAAAAAAACATAACTTTTAATTGGGGTTGCACTATATAATAAAACAGCTCGGGAAATATTTATTTTACCGGCTCCAAAAGAGGCACAATGGCCCTGGTTCAGTTTATTTTTTTCTACCGTCAATACTTTCCTTTGATAGCGTCTTCACTGACGGCTCATTACGGCCAACCAATAGCCTACTATAGTATTTTACAGCATATGATAGGCTGCTAAATAACCTACTTTAGTCCCTGATGGCCTATTACAAAGTTCAGCGTACAGTAATCTCTGACATTTTAAAATCTTGTGTTGTATTACTGTAATGGACTTGATTAGTCACTTAATCCAGTTCATTTACTTACCCCACCTAACCTTATCAGATTTGCTTAGCGGTTAAGCAAAATAATTTTTGCTACCCATCAAAAATTGACTCCAGACTCACCAGTGGGTCGTGATCGACAATTTGAGAAACACTGACTTAACCCATTTTTGTCACGGCCCATCTGGAGATTTCCCGGTGACCCAGTCAAACCTTACTTACTATAAATGTTTCATATTTTATTTACTTTCATTAAATCAAGTAAATAATATTTATGGCTTTAAATTAAAATTGTGTACACTTAGTACTAGATAAAATATAGTTTAATATTATTTCATATAGTAAGATGGATTGGTGAAATAATTTTAAGGTTTCAAATTTTAAACATGTCATTAAAAAATGTTGTGATAATTTGTATACTCGTTACTCGTATGTATTTCTCTAATGGGTCTGGGTATTTTAATAATTCTATGGGATAATATTTAGCCACCGCTTAAGATCAAAATATTTATTACTAACTAATGAATTTGTTTACTTTTGCAAAAACTACTTTATTATTTAGTACATTCTGTATAATTCTTGTGAACAAATTTATTTCGACTCGTATTTCTGTAATCAGAATTTTTTTATTGTAATTGTTTACACAATAGTTTCTATGTAGATATATCTACCATAATTAACATATTGTTATCAATTATTAGCAGTATATTTTTTTTTTGTGGAATATCGTAAACAATCAATAATAACTCATTAATACTATTTATAGCCTCGTACTGTGTCTAGTTTGTTTTTAATAAACATATTATACTGAATTAATTATTTGAGAAGTTATATTAGCATTAAGGTCAAGTAGGTACCTATCTGCAAAATGGAAAAAAGATATAAATTAAATTTGAGCTACCTAAATTATAAATCAGCTTTTTATTTTCTCTCGGTGAAACGTTGAATAGGGGGAGGGGCTTAGCGGGCTTACTTAATCTAATTTAAATTATCCATTAAGATTACTTAATCATATTTACGATTATAATGATAACAGTTAAATACAATATAGTTATTGCGATATTTTTAGTGTATATACCGAGAAGTCTTCATTGTTGCCGATGATATACTTATAGGGAAACGTCCACCTCCTCCCATAAAAAATATCACCGATGACCGACGATAACATCACTATGGATTTTAGCACGCACATTTGGAAATTGAAATAGGTAATAAATTTTATGTTTAACTGCGGCAGTTTTTATCATTACAGTATTAGACGACCATTGGTCACGGATTATTATTACTTATTTTTTTAATTTTGGTAAACATCGACATATTATATAATGTAAACCATATTTGCATGTCACCGTCCTAATAAAAGCTCTTACATATAATTCCGTTTCAATAAATTCAATATTAATTTAGTATTTAAATTATTATTCAATAGTAATATTATTTGCTATATTTTTACATATTATGCGCGGCCACACAGGTAGTAACATTGTGGTTGGAAATCCCATCTGTTTGTATGATTTCGTAAAATCAAATTTTATTAAAATATACAATTTACATATGTTTAGTTTAACCAAAAATTAACCTATACGATTTAAATACACTATTTGCTACGCTCAGAATCTAATTAATCATATAAATCAAATCGATTGAGAGAGAGGGAGAACTTCACGTATGTATATAAACATAATGGAATTTTCACTTGCCATTTTGTCCAAGTTTGGCTATGATGTGTCTCGTCTTTAGTATTGCAAATTTCTGTTTTTTTTTTTAGCAATACACTGTGTACTAATAGTTCTGGACATACATAATAATAGTAAAATTATTGTTCTCGCAAACTAGTTTGTGTGTATCTTTATACTGTATTAATGTGTAATACTCGTATTTTAATTACATTTTAACGATTAATTACCTGTATTTGTTCGAAGAACCTGTTATATGTAGGTAGTGTACTTTGTCTAAAATGTAATTAAATTGCGATAAATAAAAAAAAAAATCTCTGTTTACTCAGAAGGTGCGTAATAACTAGGGTAATAACAAATTAGTATACTTGGGCACCGACAATTTTATAAGTTTTTGTGTGTTTTAAAATATTAAAACGTCATATTCATAAATGATAAACCTGTGGTGAAAATTGAGGTGCATAATAATAGTACCTTTCGTTGGTTTTAAAAATAATTAGACATTTATTTTTTTTTTCGGTAAACTTTTAAAACAAGCTACTTTGTAAATTAATTTTTTACGATTTTCAAATATAATACTCTAGTTTTAAAACGCAGCTATGCATAGGTACCTAAACTTAATTGCATTTTTCACACCGACCGTAATGTTATTACACGATTTATCATAGTCTTATGGGCAATAACTATGCATAATCAAATTTTCACGAACAACACTCATTGTCCAATCGACGTCTGGTATTATTTTAAAAATGAATTCAAATTCAAACGTAAATATTTTATTAATACATGCACGTATAATATATTATAACAGTTCTACTATTATTCGAAAATTACTATCGTATTCCACATTATATTATTATAATATTACCGTGATATTATATTTCCAGTATAATCCCGTGTTAAATAATGTATTTACATTTTTCAAAGTTCAATCGGACATTTTAATGAGAAAAATGATTTAATTACGAGCACGCGTAATTAATTATGTTAAAAAGTCGTTAAAATATGCGTTGCGTTTGTCAGTGATTTCAAAGTTTGAGTTAATTACGCGATATTTCCCGGTATAGTTTAAGTTTCATCATCCGCAGTTCGCATTTCAATCCGACAAATAGATTTAGTAGGCATTATATTTTATACGTAGACACACGCCGATTTTTATATTTGTTGTAATCTGCATCATACACATATATCTTTTATACATATAGTACCGCGAAACCTATGTTGTCCTCTGTGCATGCATATCCGCCTTGGAAAACTAACAAAACTAATATATAACAAAACGAATCAAACTGAAATTTATAATTTAATACGTGTTTCTCATAATATTATTTAGGTGTCTACCTGTATTGCAGGCTGTACCATAGCAATCTCCAGCACAGCGTTGTCCGTGACAACCAAATTAATTTTAATAAAGTTTACATGGTATGCCCGTGACAACCAAACTATTATGAAATAATAATAATGTTATAATCGCGTAGACTTTTTCTTTTTATTACTATGTTCAATTCAAATTAAATTCGCGAAATTATATAAAACGTTTTTAGAAATATATTGTGAGTATAAGACACGGCTAATATTCCCTGAAAATCAACCATAACGCCCCTCCACCGCTGTCATCTTTAGTTTTGTATATTAGGTATTCGTTTTAATAACCGTTGGAATTTTTTCTTACACTGAATTTTCGGTTTCTTTTTTTCGGCGAGCGCGTTCCGAAAAATTCGATTAGACAACAAAAATGTATAGGCAAATCTCGTAATGATTTAATTTAATCGTTTTAATAAAATAGATAATAGATAGCGAACATAACCTAGTATTATATAACATGGTGAAATTATTTCGGTATATGGACATCCATGTAATATAATCAACATTTTTAACTTTTGGTCATTATTATTATAAATCAACACGATTATCATTTTTATCAATAAACATTTATCACGTATTCGAATGCCGATCTAATAATCCAGTAGTTAATCTGGTATTGAGTTTATTAATTCTGTTTGGTAGAAAATGGCTAGAACCGGAATTTACTATCGTTTGGTTCGGACTAGGTTAAACAATTATATTATTCTAAATTGATTGTGTGTACTAAACTCAAAATCGAACGGTTTTAGCATACATATAATATGTTTAATTAAATATGTGGAATATCGTAAAACTGATGATAGGGTTTCAGGCGTTTAAGTAGTGAAAATTGTGAATATAATAAAATCGCCAATTTGAAATGAGTTATTCCTTTCGCCGGTTCACTGAGACGTTTAATAACTTTGATATTAAATAAAAATCTCGCATATTTTTCGTATAATATTTTGATTAATGTTTTTTTTTTCTTATTGAAAATATGATTATCATCATTGTTCGAATGATTTAAGAGTTTCTAGTAAGTTTTTTAATATACAGACGAACTTTAACTAGAGACTAAATAACGCTCAAAAACTATATTCCTATCTACTTGATGTCTCAAGACAATAATTTTTTATGTAAATAGTTCGAAATTAAATTTATTTATATTTGAAATAAAAAAATACTAATAAATATATCTTTGGTTGTAGGGAATAGGGGCTTAAGTCAATTGCGTATAATTTTCAATACATAAATTTATGTTATAAAGGAAAACAAATTGCACATGGCAAAATTATAAAAAAAAAAAAAAGACGTCCTAGGATAATGAGGACGGGTGTAGCCACTGTTATAGATAATTTAATGTATACCTGTGAGCAACGATATGAATCATTACGTACGAAAAAAACGATTTTGAGCGGAGTTCAGTTGACAGTGATGCTTTGTCAACAATATATACGCCATATTATAGTAAAATAATTAAATAGGCTCTATATATCTTCTTTAATAGTGTTTGTTTAATGCTGTACCGGTTTTCCCGGTATTCCCTAGTTTTTTTTTACATTTTCTGAGTAAACTCCGGGGAAAATGGAAAAACGATCTCTTTAAAGTACTTCCCCAGTAAAATTTCCTTTCAGTAACATTGCTATCATTAAAAGTTGAAGCAAAATTGCTAGTAGAAAAGTTGTTCACAAAAAAAAAAAAATAAACATATTTTTAAAACCATAAGCTTCTCCGTTCCACTCAAAATTTAAAAGCCAAAAATTTACTTATGATCTTCTCCCTGATGAATTAGATCGAAAATGAAATTCTAGGAAATATATGAAAAGTGATTAAAATGTAGTAAAACGATTTAAATACGTTTTTTTTTAAATTTTAAATTACTCGAACTAATTGTTTATTTGTTAATAATTATCTTTGTATAAAATAATGATATAACTAAAAAAATAATTACAGTTTATGTTTACGTTTTTAACGAAAACTTTTTTAGTAAAAATTATTATAGGAATTCATTTGTAGGCGTCAGTACTTAGACTACCGTATCGGTGGCCATTGATAAGGCTAAATTTAAAAAAAAAATATAAACGAACACGTACAAATTGACCTAACTCTCGAGAGATGCCAATAATAATCCGAGAGCGTAAGGATGCTGATTATTCTCAGACTCTGTCACGTATTATTATACAATAGCAATAATGGCCCTAAAATATACAAATACGTAGACAATTTAGGTTATAGGTATATAACTTATAACGTTCTTATTTTATTAACAACACTAATAATACCGTTTCCGATCGATTATGACAATAATATTATATAAATAACAGGAAATAACTGCTGAAATAGCCGATGACCCCATATAATTGCGACAACGAAATTTTGACCTACGCCAAACATCTTTCTATACAAATATAAAATATATTATTCGTATTTCGTATTGTGGAATTGTGTGTTATATAGAACAATACGTTTTTGTCTACTCTTGTTCTTTCTGTGTATAGAGAAAAAATACAACACGATACGTTGTTATAGTTAAACTTTTCAATCATATATAACGACTACGTCCTATTATACCTTTACTTGGCAAAATATCAATAGTAAAGTCGAACAAATCGTTGACCTTAAACAATTTTCCTTCCGAAAAAATTCAATACGTATAATATAATATAATTTAGAGTATATTATACTCTCATACCTACTTCTATTTTCTCGGTATGACTGTAGCACAACAAAAATAATCTAAAAAGTAATTTAGATTTTAATAAACCTATGTTTGTAATTCAAACTCTTCGACTATTTGACTTCCCTAACCATAAAAGCCATAAAAATAGGGCGAGTATGCTTAATGAATCACCCTATATATTATTATGAAACTGCGTACTCTCAACTCTTTGTATTACCTATGTAGTTTTTAAGGAAACAAATCACCAGAATGGTTTTGATTAAAAAAGCCATTTTGTACTAGCATGTTTTAATAACAATTTAAAGAGTAATATGTATAATTATTAATACAATAAATTACTAATTGTCGTCAAAGAAAATACACAATTTCATACAAATTGGTTTTTACTAAACTAAAAATTGAAAAAAAAAAAACCAACATTTTTACTGATGTTTTCCTAATTGCAGTTTATCAAGATTTGGTTTAGTCGCTTCTGTCATACAAGAAAAAAAAATAAATATAAATTAAAGCCTTGTCTTATAATAGAGTCAATCCATAAGTTTAAACTTTCGAGTTTATACACCACGAGCGTTCTATACAATAATTGGAAACTTTATCGATGACAAAGTTATCTGTCCAAATTTCTTGTGTTCAATTAACGATTTAAAAACTTTTACGATGGAACATTTTGTGTAGATATTGTAACTACACAGATATCCCAAAAAGTGTTTTCCGAAAAAAAAAAAAAAAAAAAAAAAAAAAGAAGCATGCGTCATTATAAAACTAAATAATACTTATTCTATACAGAAACTTAAAACGATTCTGATTATCCTTAACCGGTATTCGTACAATAATTAATACCAGTCGGTGTTCATCGTCCTATAAAACTTTTTTTTCACATTTAACAAGAGCACTCATGCACATTTTCAAAACTATTATTTTAATAATAATTATTTGTAAATTTCTGAAGGTTATGATAGATACTTATACAATTTTAAACATATTAATTTGTATGCTATTTAAATATAATTTACCTACAGGATATACTTGCATATTATAAACTTACACACATTTGTCGGAGTTATACAAATTATATAGAAATTGCAATTAGACCGCCTTAAAACTGTTAATGAACTCAGTCCAGTTTATGTTCCGAATTTACCCTCTGAATAAAGTAGTTACCTATCTACTATGTACTATATATATATAAATATTATCTAAATAGCTGTGATTATACTTTAAATCTCTGAGTTCGTTACGACAGCCAAAAGGTCGAAATGCTTTCTCTGAGACGACGACCCGAAACTATCCGTATTAACAAAAGGGGTTCGGGTTCAGTATTATAAATTTTAAATTGAGTTATGTAAATTAATATTACGGTTGAGCTAATATTAAAATTATGATGCTGATTATGCAAATATACAAATAAAGTGCTCATTTATAGCGTTAAAATTAATAGTTTATCTTTCACAGAAAAATATAACTAATAGGTAAAGGTACATTCAAAATAATCGGATGAGTGATGATTGTTGGATATTGGTTGACAATATTTACATTGTTTTTCATATTTTTTTCTCAATACAAGAGACAATTTTTTGATTAAACGTTATAAATTTGATCTTAATTTATTATGATAAACCACAGTCAATGGAACTAATTTATAACTATTAATAGTTTATTCATAACCTAAACCTTAAAGAGATAGTTAGTACATAGAAACTAAACCAATTTTTAAATGTAAAATTACTTTATTATATTTTAAAGAAAAGTGTTACTATAATAATAATAAAAAAAGGCCTCATCTATGAATTTGTTTAATTGCCGTCTATCTATTTTTTACTACTTCATAACCAACATATAAAAAAACAAAGGTTAAGGAAATAAATGCTCTAAACACATCGTTATAATATTCAAAGCTATTTTTTAATAAATTGATAGATTATCATTTGTCAATAACTTAATTAATTTGTATTAATACCAAGGATAAAAATGCCATCATTATAATACAGTACATTTTATATTTTTCCGATACTACGAATTAATTATTTCATAAAATAGTGTATGCGATGAGATTTTCTAGTTGGTAGTAATTATTTTACCATTAAACTAAAATTAATAAAAACAAAAATAAAGATTTGTATACATCTTTAGCTAAATCTATGTTAAAAATAATATCCCATTACGTATGCGCTTACAATACTTAAATAGAATAATCATAACATCAATGTCGAAATATCTGATACCTAGGACTATTATTTTTCGAATTTTAAATAATTTTTGTAACACTGTAGTAAATCAAAACTGTCTACATCTACCCTAGGTCCCTAGTGTATTCTGTGTTCAATTTTTGATCTGTAAACTACTACTGCATTAAACTTTTAGAACATTCTCGTTCTACGTCAAAAGAAATCGATAGGTGCGTAAAAAAATAACCTCTGTATTTTAAATCAATATGTTCCTCGCCTATCTCAGAATCTTAAATAAAATATGAATTTAAAATTACCTCAACTGTGGGCGGATAATTTCGAAGCAAAAAAAAAAACCCCATTCGTATTATAGGATACATTAAATAGCATCGAAAAGTCTATTTGAATAATAGGTAATCTATAATGTCACTATTATAAGTTTAGGGCTTCGGTATTTGCGTTACAGTCAGGGGATTATAAAGAGTTTTATGATGCACTGTATAATAGGATATTTAAAGCCTGGGAAAAAAAAACCGTGCAATTTACATAGTGTCTCTTCTACCAGAAATATTACACTCAATTTAAATAATTTACTTTATCACATATACACATTCCTACGTATTATTACATAAAAAATAGATTTAATATTTTTATGTTTATAAAGCTATTAACATAATATTTTTTTTTATTTATCGCATGTTCGAGGAAACATTTTTATTTTCAGTGTATGTAAAAAAAAAAAGAAATTTATCGTGTTTTTGTAACTCTATGTCTATGCATTTACCTATCTAAAATTAAAGTAGACATAAATAATTTACTGGTAGAATTACAAAGAAAAACTTTTTATTGTAATATTTTGCTCGTATACATGCCGCAATTTTCTAAAACTTTTTCTTTTTTTAGACAATACATCGAACAAACTCGAACGAATTAAAAAAATTACATACCTAAAATATGATTTTTTATATCATCTTATTTTATTAGTTCTGAACTGAGAAGTGAATGTATTATTTTTACTATGATGTATGCTTATTTTTTTACTATCTTGAAACCTTGTTCCAAAAAACAAATGTTGAGAGATATATTTTGTTAAATTTTGAATTTAGTTGATGAATTGTGGAGGTCATTTTTAGATATTCCATGTAGTTTTCTTAATAACCGGGGATGCATGTAGAAAAAACAAGATAATTACGGCATTAATAGTTTTATTATTTTTGATTTTGTTTTTTTCTTGTAATTCGATTAAAAAAAATTTTAGAGGCCTAAAATATTCATAAAGTACTTATAATAATTTTTTAGACGTGGTAAAAATGTTCAAAATAATGTATCGATTTTTGAGCTTTTCGTATTACATGACATTTGATGTTTTCGAGTTTTATTTTTAGTTTTTATTTAGTTTTATATGGATAAAATTGTTTTACTTTAAAATTCTACACGAGGTTCATCTGAAGTTGTAGTTTGTCGTGAAAAAAAAAAGAAATAGTTTTTTTTTTAACCGGGTTTTAATTTTTTAAAACTAAATTCTACGAAATTCGTAAATATCGTGAACTATTAATACCCGGTGAATATGTATTGAAACTCATTATTGTTCTTTATTATAAATTATATACTACTACAAATTATTATTACAGTCGTAATAATAATTAATATTAGTAATAATAATAATTATTACGAGTGTTTTTTTCTTTTAGTGACAATATTTATATTGCACCTATATATTACCTATTATAATAAATGATGATAAACGAAACAAGTATTAAAAAGGTATTGAGCAAAATTTATATTAAAAAAATTTATTTTCGCAAATTATTTTATACTCTTATCCTATAAAATTGATTAAAATACGAGCAGTTTTTATTTGCTATCCACTCAGGCTGTTAAGGCTGTCGGAAAGATTCTCAAAGTAAACACACCTGTTTCGTATTATCTCAAGTATAAACTTTTATATCAGCGTTACGTTTAGGTGTACCTACGCACACAAATATATATATTTGAAAAAAAATAAACCTGTCTTCGGTATAAAGTTTCAGAAAATTAAATATTTATTTCCTAAAATTTTCTATTTTTTATTGTACGAGTAAAATATCACGTAAAAGTTATCATTATAATCATTTTTGGATCGGTAAAATAAATCAATTCAGGATGTATAGAAAAGGTATACAATTAAAATTATTAAAATTAATTTTTTTGGTTTTTTCACATTTGTTGAGAAAACTACGAAGAAAATCGAAAAACGACCTTCCTTAAGTATCTGTCTATAATAAAAAGTTGAATTTCCGGTTTTTCATAGAAGAGAAACTCTCAATAATATTCAATGATATATCCATTTCCTGGTAAATGTGCACAGTACAAGCTAGCCTAAGCGATTCTGACTCATTTATTTTGTAACTTGAAATCAATGATAAGATGTAATTATCTCTTACACAAATGGGGTTTCTCAGAAACATCTGCTTGCACTTGCGAAGTGGAACAAACAGTAAAGCACATAGTGCAGGAGTGCCCTCAAACAAAATTTTGAAGGAGAAATTGAAAACGTTCATAGATGCAATGGACTGGATGCGCGAGCTGAATGTACGTATATAGTCCCCTGTTCCATCAACATCTCACTGCCTATCCCTGTTTTCATCTCAAGATATTTTACATCACTCATTTGTATTTTTATATTTTGTTGTTATCTTACCTCGATTTAAATTTATATTTATTTATATTCATTTTTATTCTTATTTATACTTGTATATTTAAATTTATTGTTATTGTAATTGTATTACTTAATTTTTACGCCGAAGCCATATGCAATAAAATTAAAAAAATGATAAGGAACAAAGGTCAAATCGCCAAAATTAAATGTTAACTCCATAAACCTTGACCCGGATCGACTGTTAAAAAACTACTGCAGTTCAAGTCATTTATGACCAAACTTCGCTGAGAATCGTTTTTAGTTACCAATGGTTTACCATTTCATACAGATATACTTTTTTTTTAACACTAATTTTAATCGTGTAAAATTGTTGAGTATTTCTGATTAGCCAAAAATGAAAAAGGTTTATAAATAGCTCAAAAATACCACTTTCTAGAGAAGTCTATTATAAAGTGTTCGGTGAAAATCTCAAGTCTCTATGTTTATTTTTAACCTAATTACAACAAAAAACATAATTGAAAATAATAAAACCGTGAATGCCGTAAACTTTCACGTTTTTTCCTATCTATTTAGAAAACTTCACAGAAAATCTACTTTTAACACTAAAAACTTACGAAACTTTTATTGCCTTAAATTTGTCTGATTTTCATATACGTTTTCCCCCCGGAAAATCAAAAAATGTCCTTTTTAATGCACCGATTAGATCCAAAATGCTACCTTCTGGTAGAAATTTTATTTGCAGATATGAAAAATAAAATAAACAAATACACACATTATAGTAAAACCAATGCATTCTTCGCCGTGCTCACAATCAAAAACATAAGAATATAATATAATTAGAAGATAATATTATATTGCAGTTTATAAAAGTTCTGAATCGTGTAATGAAATTCGTAACAGGTTATCAGTTTCGACGGTTTGCTTATTGAAGAATGAGGAGTATTAAATTTGTTTAAGACATCAGATTTGATGTAAATAGATGTTTTTTATTTTTAAATAACCGTAGAAAGTCTTTGAGACCATCTTCATGCACACGCAATAGCTAACATTTGTACTTCACTGGATGTTTTCCGTTGCAAAATTCACATTTTTCAGGAGTGTCTTTATGTTTAGGATGTGTGTTTGAATAATGGTAACATACCTACTAAACAGCCAACGACGAATCTCACGGAGCATTTACTGCAGTATCCCTCTGAATGTCCGCCCTTGACAATTTTGACACTGGATTATTTCTCTACGTTTGGGCGGTTATTTTATATCTTTTATTTTAACGTACGGAATATTATTTAGATGAAAAATGTCTAGAGTTTGTAGAAGAGTGTATTCTAGGTTCACAAAAAAAAAAAAAAAAAAAGAAGAAAATAAAACAAAAGCATTTCTATTTTAGTCGGTAACCTTATGGTAACCTCATGTAGGATATATTAGTAACTTGTCAGACTGAGTAACCTATTTTTCCTAGGTATAGTGACTTTGATATATCGGTTGTTAGAACTGTCGGATGTAAGTTTCGAATGACCACTCTGAAAGTTTTCTCTTTCTGTCAAGTTGATAAGTGTATAGTAGGTAGGTATTCTGTTTTGTTGTCTTTTAGGAAATTAATACACATCATATAGTATACCCACTTAAATACTTGCATTACTTTTAGATTTTTTGATGGAGACAATAATAGTGCAGTGATGGAGTTAATAGTTCGGTTAGTAAGAGGTTAGAGGTAAGAGGTTAGAGGTAAGAGGCTATGGTTAAACTAAGAAGTTTTTTTAATGAGGTTTTTTCCAAGAATTTAATTATTAAAAAATGTATAACACGTTATAAGTTACGGGTAACTTGTCACCATACCTATAGTTTTATAGTCTTAATTTATATTTACAAATAATTGTATATTCTTTGGATCATTTATGTTGAATCTATTATCAAAATATTACATTTAAATAGGTATACCTAGATAGTTAACTGTCTAATAATAATGTCGATAATTTACAGAAATAATTGCGTTCTGTTCATTAGTTTCTGTTATTGTCTTATAAATTATTTTTCGGTTGTTGTTAGGTTTTAACGATATCCAAGTTGTTTTATTATTATTATTTTTGTTTTTTTTTTTGTTTTGACGAATTGGACGTTTTGGAATCGAGGTTCCCGGATAGATTAATGATGTACCAGATGTCAAGAAAGTTTCGGGTTTTCTCAACCGTGGTGCAGTATTCGTCACGTTAGCTTGTCGTGAAATTAGTTCAGCCACATTCGCTCGTTAAGATTATATAGTTAAGATTATTATTATACCTACCGATTTTAAATTATTGTACATTACAACGAATCGTTCCGGGTCACTCTACATATTATCATACAATATATTTTAGTTGCCTTAGTAATTTATTTAACGAAATAAACTAATTTAGAATAATTATTTTAAATAAATATAATTTAAATGTTGACGTTCATCCAGTATATATTCCTAGTGGCGGTGGTCCAGACCCCTTGGACACTCCAGACTCCAAGTTAAGACTATGAGTTAGTTTTTCATTGAAAATTTAAAAACAGAAACTGAAATTATTGGCATATTAACACGAATTTTAATTTTTAATTATAATATGTACTTATAATATATAATAATATATTATATTATAGGTATATTTATACACCGGGTGACTTTTGTCCTTAGTTACTATCGTCGTGATTTTCACCAAAACTATATACATTATAGACAAAAACAAAAAAATGTTGTGGTTAAATTTTTGTCTATGCAATTTGGTTTATCGCAGCTGTTATAACTTACTGTAACATATCTGTTACATCGCAACGTTCTGATTGGCGGTTTTAAACTTTACGGGTAATCGATAAATTATTCATTATTCAGCACTAGCCCGTCGAACTTGAACGTCATATTTTAGTAGTTTTGTGTGATTTAGTTAAGAGTTCCGAGATCATCTATAATCAAACTTGACAAATATTTATAATTTAGGTCTAATATTTAACCAAGTTAACTACAACTTACCCATTAAATATTTCAAATAAGACTAAATGATGATGTGCATAAACAAGGATCTGAAGTTAACCACTGACGAAGTTCCAGACGAACTAAGTAAAACAAAACGAAAAGTAGATATTGTGTTATCATTTTTAAATTGAACTTTATTGTTGATTAAAACATTGGTAAATGCATGTAGGTAAGTAAAAAAATAATATGTAAGTTAATTAAAATAAATTAATAGATATTGGGTAAATATTTTTGTATGTTAAATGCATTGTAAGTTAATATCGAAGGATCTCCTCTCAGAAAAAAGTTCAAAAACCTGACTAATCCTATACATAAATAATCGAGGTAAATTGTTTGATATTTAATTTTTATAAAATATAAGTAATACTTATTAAGTATCTTTCCCGATTTGGATAAAAATCGCACTACCTACTATATGCAGTGTGTAGATTTGGTATCTACGAATTTTAATATAATAATAGATATCTGTTGTCACATTAAGACGGATCGTTTAGATTTTGCATCGTTGATATCGTCCGGCAGTTCTATTATACGTTCTAGTAATACTATAGGGTACAAAAGAACATGAAGTCACACAGGTTTTAGAATCTACCAAGAACACGGGATATTATTACAAATATTGTGAATATTTTATACGATTTATATTTTGTAGGTAATTATTTTACTTCATGATGGTCATCTATACATTTCGATCGTGGAATATTCATCACTCATACATACGCATGTATAGTATTGTTTCTTCTTGCTAGGTATTTGTTTAGTGTCTTGTTAGGACTGTTAAGTACTTTCCTAGTACTCTTGATTTTTTGAATATTTTTGTATATTTAATATTAAGAAATTTATTTTTTTTTCTAGGGACATTTCAATATCTAACCGAATATTAAATATAAAACAATGAATCGCACACATTTTTTAAAAATTAGGTTTTTTTTTTAACAATAATTTATTTCAATTCTACTTGTGATGCGACTGTAACTAAAACAAAATATGACTTTTTTTTTTAATAAATTGTGAAGACAATTTCAAAAATTTGTAACGTGGCATCATATTTTTTTTCTCCGTATTAACTCGACGACCATTTTGTGTACATCCAGTGGCTTAACCGGACAAAAATCTAAGGGGAGGGGGGTAAAATAATTTATTCATCATAATCAAAACTCTGAGCCCCCCTCTTTCCGGTTTAAATATGTTTATATTATTGTATGTTTATATATAATATGAGTACTTAGTACAAATAATTATTTGTACTAAGTACTCATATTGTTAAATAATATTAAGTAACCTACATTAGAATTCGTTAAAAAGGCGCTGTATGTAGTTTAAAAAAGTAACTAGAATAAATATTATTTACAGATATTTTATATTTGGTGCATATTATATTGCATTATTTCTTAACTTAAGAAGATTCAAATATTTGTACTATTGGATTACATGGAGAAGGCGAAATGATACCTTTGCCCCTCCACCAAATGTCAGGGGCAAGTGACATCAAAGCCCCCTGCAATTACGCCACTATATGTACCTATAAGAAATCAGAATTGAATATTATTCAAGAATGTGATTGGTATTTTTTAATTAATCTTTTTTTTCGTTTTGTTTGCTATAAGCCTACAAAGTATGAACATTTTAAATTTATTATACTGACTTGTATAACGTTTTCCTACCTTATGATATTATTGTAGGTAATATTAAAAAAAAAACTGATCATACTTACATGGATAGGTATGGCTAGTAATATACAGCGCGTATTGGCGTTTCTTTAGTGCTTATTGTTATTTCTTTTTTATTCGTCTTTGCCGGAACGTGTTTATTTTTATTTTGTTATTCGTGGGGCGATTACATTAACTTAAAGTGATCGTATCTTAACAGTTTAAACCATTCACTCCGTTTCCCATTCTCTTATTGCAACTTTGACCGTTGTTTTGAACTATCGAGCGTCTCCGGAGTTTCCGAGCAGAAAATTCAAGTGTTGATTCAGGTTTGGTTCAATGTACAGCAATAATAAATAATCATAATACCATGATTATTTCTCAAACGAAGGATTTTGCACGTATTTTCGTCTACAATACGTGATGTTAGATAAGGATAACCGTGTAAATATTATATTATTTTGTTACCTTTGATAATGTCTTCTGCGAGTACTACGGGTATAACAATTTATTTTTTATACCCCATTCGAGTTGAATTAAGATTAACTCACTAGCTAGAAAATTTGATGACAATAAATTCATATTTAAATCATTTATTATATGGCAGTTACCTGTATGGTTTCCGTTAATTTTTTTGGCATTTTGAACATAAATATAAGACTATCGTTATGTTCGTGGGGAGAAAAACCCAACAACTATAAAACACAAAATAATTTTTGTGCTTGAACGGGAACACACAATATATGAAAACCATACCAAATAACCATTATCTAATTAAGTGTCAAGTCATTAATTTTTTTTAAAAAAAAAACATAGTTTTATATTTTTATACTTTGTACAATATTATTATTATATAATAAAATAGTTTTGCTTACTTTGGCTGAGGATGGAATTGTGTATATAGAGCATTATTTTGTCTGCTTAGAAAAACAAAATGTTTTTTACAATATAATTATTATAAAATTAATATTTTGTATTTTTTTTTTTATTAATAATGTTTAGAACGAATATAATTATACTCGATCAACGTGTGATGTAAGAATAACACTATTATTATTTTTTTCTACCCGATACCGATTAATTTATGGATGGTAAAACGATGTCGGTCACATAGTATGATTCACGTTCAAAAATATCATTTAATTTACCAGGTTGGGTTTAAATATACAGGAATCGAGAAAATCATTACGGCTGCGACAGTAATATTGTCCCACATTCCGTGTTTATTCTTTTAATGTACAGTGATAAAATATAATAGAATACTATAGTGTTCGATAGTAATTTTTTTTTCTTTCAAAATCTTTTAAAAGAAAAACGTATACCTATAGTTTTTTGTGCTTCTTGGAAGTAAAAACAAAAAAAAAAATCCGCGTTTTTCTACTAATCTCTGTTGCTTATCGAACTAGAATCTCATTCAATACGATGGCAGACGGTGGTAAATGTGTTCACTAATTATTTTAGTTGGGTAGGTACATATTGAAAAAAAAAAAAAAAAAATGTTCTCCATTGGAAGACGGATAAACACAGAATCATGGATATATTGGAACTTAGAAGACGATGATATTATATTCATAACTAAACCAAATCCAACCTAAAAACATCGATAATACAGTCTGATGTATTTTCAAAGGAGGTCAAAAAGAACTGATTAAACCCAAAAGCCTAGAGTAACAATAATATATAATATATAATATTTTAGTACAGGGAGTCTGCCAAATAGTCCTATAATTTCAATAAAATTTCGTCTTTAATGGAAAAATCTATTAAACCTTCCCGGAAAAGTGTTGAAAATTTGCCACTGCCTACTAGTATACTAATTTGTTCAATACAAACATTGTAATATATTATAGTATAATATATAAACAGTACAACAAACAGTATATATATTTATATAAATAAACAGTAAGCCAGAATATGATTTATACTTATATTATAATATTATACTAATGTTCGTATAGTAGAGTTGGGGTGAAACTTTTACATAGATACTCTTCGGAAATACTTTAGGGTAAATCTCAACAAAATTAGTTAGGGATGACTGCTTGCATTCGGCATATTTATAGCAAGTCACATAAATAAACCAAAAGTTCACAACGAATAGTTTTCTTATACTACAACCACGATGTGGTATCAATTTACCATCACTTAACTAGGTATATTCTTTTATTTGCATTCTTATATATCGTATCAAAATCAAAATGATTATTATGTAAATATTATTACTATTAAAAGTTTGAAAATAATTATTTCATAAACTTCAGTTTCATTTAAATCATTATTATTCTATATTGTGTATTTCGTATTTTTATAATATCAATTTTAATGGTTAAATATAGTTTAAATTTAAATCATTATTAGTTTTAAGTTTGTGTTGGTATACCATTGAATAATAAATTACTTTTTTCGTCTTACTGAACCGGTAAGAGGTAATTTTTGTATTTTTTTGATCATAAAAACTAATTCACCAATGATTTTGTTTTATGAGACAAATTATTGTGACATTGATAGAAAAAAAAAAAAATGAGAAAAAACTCGTACAGAGCAATCTAAAAAATACCCTGGGGATATTCTCACATACCTCCATCAGTACACGTTGGATATTGATCACTCATAGATACGGATGTTACCTATAACATACTCGGTATAAAAAAAAAAAAAAATCAAAACTCTTGAATATAAATCTGTGTCCATACCACCGATAGTGTCCCTTGACAATTTACTTATGATAATACAGAATATATATGTACAATAATAAAATTCTGTTTTTTCATCAATAAAATAAAACAGTTTAAATCAAAAATTACGATGTAATAGTTTTCATGGTTTTTGTCACTGTATTAGATGACAAAAACTCAGTATTTTAAATAAATGATCATATTTCGCTGGTGTATTTCAGAGCCAAATTTTGAAGATTTTAGTGACAAATAGACTTCCTGGGGTAAAAAAGTCTGAATTGTGTATTTTTTATTTATAACTAGGTATTAGAAAAAAAAAAAAATCACTTAACAATTCTTTAACAAATTTAGTTTATAGTACTGCAGTAAAAGAATATTTCATAAAATAGATATTCTGGAGTTAAATCTGTCTTGGGTATGAGAATGTATAAAAAAAATCGCAAATGTTATATTATTATGTTACAGCTTGTTATTGAAATGCTTTTATTTTTTTTTAAACAGTCCGTAAATCCATAATTCATAAATATATTATTATAACCGTATAATTATATAGTCTTACTCTTATATAGGATCTGTTATTTTCCCCTCCCTCTAACTCCCGTAACAAATAGTCTATAGTTGGTAGCATATAATAACGATTTATTTCTTTTCTGCGAGTATATAATATAGTTCATTTCATAAATATTATGCAAAAAGATTACGTTTGTTAAATGTGCGTTTGTGCATATTTAGGCGTAGAGTGTATATTATTTACTATCCTCGGTTTATACCACAGACGCATCGTTTAAGGGCGAATAAAAAACCGTGTACCTCGAGGGATCGAGTTATATAATGTATATATATATATATACCGACTGATAATGTCAAAATGAAAAAAAAAAATCCAGCCGAACATATTTCATATTTTTTTTTTTCTCTTTTGCATGACTATAGTACTATAATATTATGATACGACCCATGATATATAATAATGCGCAGTAGTTAGAATATTAATCGATCATAATTATTATTATTAGAGCAATAAACGGAATTATAGTATAACATAAAATATAGATACATTTCGGTCTAAACATTTTTTTATTAACAATGACTTTATTAAAAACCGATATTATCTATAACAAGGCAGATAAGGCATCATTTTCTCGTATTATAATTATGTACCTTCTCCAAATCAAAAATAACCAAAATGCATGGAATCGTTAAACCGGTGTTAACACATACGATTGTGAGCCGAGTAGAATGTAACTAACTAAATGGAGAAAAACAGAAGATGTTGTTTGTGCAATAAATCCTAAAATTTATCTATTATCTAGTATATGAAAACGAACTGCGCAAGAAGATGCATGGCTTATGCAGCAAGAAAATCAAGAACTTCTTGACAAGAAAATACCATAAGAGAACCTATGATAACACATTTTGTAAATCCAATGGTTGAGGAGATGGATGAAGGAACATAAATCAGTAAATCTTTATGTGGCAGCATTTTTTGAATCCCCTAATTCGTCCACTTTGAGGACTTTGTATTTAGTATTTTAATTAAAATTTGAACATTTAACGCTTATAAAAAAATTACTACATTGAGCTCAAATTATTTTTTTACTACAAATTGAATTTATGATTAACTGTACTTATGTTAAATTTTTGAGTATTTTTACTGGGTCAAAAAATTTTAACCATCTTAAAAATTCGTGCAAAACCAGCAAAATTAAAATGTCTATAAATAGCTAAAAATGGCTAAAATGTTTTGTAAATTTGAACACGTTTAAAAAAAGCAAATACGTTTTCTGTCAAAATTTCATGTTTCTACGGATATTTTTATCTGAATTAAAACAAAAAACAAAATCAAAAATAGTACATTTTATAAACTTCCCCGTTTTTCCTTCGTTTTTTCTCAATTATTATAAGAACCAACTAAAAAATCAAAAACGACTTATTTAAAGTACCTCCCACATAAATTTTCCTTTCAGAAAAGGTTTTTCAAAACACTTGAAACTTGAAACAAGATTTTTGGTAGAATAATTGTTCACAGATTTAAAAAAATAATAATAAATAAAACATAAAAATGAACATCATCGTAAAACCAATACATTCTTCGTTTCGCTTAATTGATAAAAAGGGGATTTGGTGACCAAGGTCCTTTACGTTTTAAGTTGAGTTCAATAATTACAAGAAACTCTAACTTTTTTTTTTTAATTTTTATTGTCCTCTTTTTATATATTTCCTATTCGAGCACTTGGTGGCAGTTGAATAGAAACCAAACGGAGAAGACATCTAGAAGGCATTCAAAATCTCGTTTGTTGAAAAACGGGGATAAAACAAGCAATGCTAACTAACTATTCGTAACTTACGGATTTTAACACCCAAGGAAAAACTTAATATTAGGTAGATCCCCTATAAGTCACCATAAAGAAATTTATATTTTTGTTTTTCTTCCTCTTTATCACACCTTCTATGGATGATTTTTGTTCCCTCACTCCGCTCAGCTAGAATCGAAGAAATCGAGCGTGGTAAATTAGCAAACCAGAGTATAGACAATCACGAGGAGTGGAAGACAGTGTCGACGATGGCAACGATTTTTAAACGGTTGATTTTGATGCCTGCGTGGATAAAAAGATAATTATATTATATTATATTTATACCCACAGTATTATTCGATTTGTTTCGCAGAATACATGTTTGAAGCAAATTATGAACCCGAATATTTAAAACAATTAACAGTTTTTTTTTTTTTTAAATTTATTATTTCGGATGTTATATGGGCATACCTTTTGGCAGAGATAATATACCTATCCTAAGTGTCTATATATATATTTAATCGATTATAAACTTTCATATTATTTAATATGTATATTGTACTTAGAGCATACGCGGCTGATATTTGGCAAGATTTTTTGTATTATTGCCAAGTGCTATTCACCCGAATGTGAATGTACAGTAGATTTTATCCGGTAGGTATATAGTCAGTGTTTTCGGCAGAAAGCAAGATTATTGTATTTGTTCGTTCATACGTATATATTTATATACATTACTAGGTGTATCTAAGTAAACCGAACGTTTAACCCGATGTCTTCGCGTTCGGTTTTAAATTAACAACAGAGCATTGAAAATTGAACGTTTTACATTGGTCCGTGATTAGTTTATTTTGGTCGATTAACTTAAATCAGATATATTTTCATAAATTTATGCTACAGAATCGACAGGAATAATTAGACGGGGTTACAATATAATGGTACCTACTTCGGATGTAAACTCCAATTCGCTATCTTCTATCGTCATCTAGATACATTCCCATAAATTATCTTTTATCTTTATTCAGATACTTTTTGAGTTATCTAATCCGATTCACTATGGGTACGCAAACTCACTTGCCTGGGTTCCTGAAACGAGTAAATTATATTCTGTAGGATGTGGAATTTTGAACAGCGACCGCATAAACTAATTTATTCCTAGAGTCCTAGAGACACACCTATACATTTTATAGTATTTTTTTTTTACAAATTGGTAGTGTCGGATGGTCCGTTGTTATGTTATGAAATTATAGTATATAATGGCCACGAGGTGTACCTTGGTACATTCCAACTTTGTGTTTTAAGTTGTTTATTTTGTTCATAAAACCAGACACACACGTAGGCATCTAAGTAAGTTTTAATTTATTCGTGCTGTCAGAGGAGGACGGGACGTGTTCTCAAGGTTGTACTACACTACGTAAATGCCCACGTCGGAGACTTAATTCGAGTATATATACACCTGCAGCGTCATACTAAGTGCATTAAGCTCCACGTGGTTTGCATATTATTTATCCTTTATAATTTTCTTATTCATTAGGTGTTATACTTAATTAAGTAAATGTTTAATTGTCTAGTCTTGTAAATTATTATACATTATAGTAAGTTTATGTTTCTCAATTGTGTTTATCTATTCCATTCATCTTACTACCGAAGGTTATAATACAAATTATATATATACAAGGGAATTTTTTTATCATGAACTAGCAATTATCTCAGAAGATTTTAAGTGAATATAATTTCTGTTTTTTTTTCTCATCATTATGGAATCGTTAGAGCTAAATTTTAAAACCATTTTTAATTGTTTACCTCTACTACATATACCTTAAATACCTTAAGTACGTACTTTTGATTTTCAAATAAGAAGCCCCCCTTTTGAACACAGATTTGAATAGAGAATATTTTTTTAAAAATTTTGTTATGCATTATAGATAGACAATTTATTACCTTTTCCAACTTCTCCGGTCTAATCTTTAAACTGCTATAAGTCATAAACGGTAAATCTGATATTAGTAGTCTAGAAAAATATTCTATATTCAAAAGGGGGGGGGGGTGTTATTTTAAAATCAAAAGTATGAACTTATTTAAGGTATATGGAGTAGAGTTAAACAATTAAAAATGATTTTAAAATAAAACTTAAACGATTCCATAATGATTAGAAATAACAAAAATCAAATTACCTTAAAAAACTCCAAGATAATTGCTGGTTGCTGGTTCATGATAAAAAATTCACCCTGTATATGGTTAATAAATGGACATTTTTCAGTAGGTTTTGTTTTTAAGTTTTAACTTCAAAATTTTTAAAAACTTGTTAACAATTATATATATTTGCCGTTATTTCCTGATCTGCATATGTGCAAATTTTACATTCGCATTTCGGACGAATGAAATTGGACCGCGAAATAACGGGCTATCGGTAATTCAGATTTCACGTTTATTTTACGAGGTATCTGGCTCACTGTTTTCTGGTTTACCTATAACTACGTGTATAGGATCTTTATCGAATAAAAGTTTCGGGAATTGAATCCGATGCCAAAACTGCGGTTAAATGAAGCGATAAAAGGTTCACGTTTCTGTTTTTCTTATCAAATATAGACACAGTAATAAAGTATATTACTAACAAAAATCAACATTTTTGGTTGTTTCCTATTGAAATCGTATAAAATTGTCAATAATTATATAATAATTCTGAGCACGCTAAACATATGCATTTATTATTGCATTTCACAGAAAAATAATATCGAGTTAGTTAGTTTTTTTTTTTTGCTCGCTTCTTGGAAATTGATCGGTTTATGGTTAAGTAGGTTACAGTGGTTACGCGTTTTGATTTTAATTAGTTTTGCTGTTTTTTTAAGTGTATTTTGTTGCGATTAAATTTACTAGCGAATTTCGATTATTGATTTTATGTTTAAGTTTGCAATCATACAATTTCAGTGGGTATAATAACATCATGTAAAACGAGTTACATTGTACTAAATCCATTGAAAAATATGTTTAATAAATCTAACATTTTTCTCCACTAGTATGTTATAACTTACTTATATAGTTATATGTAATAAATAATATTATATTTATCGAAATATTCCAAATAATAGTAGCGCGTTCGTGGATATAATATCTAATAGGGTATGGCATTATTAGTACTTTTATACGTTTTCTGGTACAAGCAAATAAGAAATTACTATCGGTACCTATATAAATCAAATATTCTCATATATTTTATTTGCACCAGAGTGTATATTGAACTATATTTCATATTTTATTTGGTGTAGGTATTGGTATACAATATAATAATATCTTAATAAATTATTTAGCAATGCGACTAGTTAGAAAGTAAATTTTAACACTAAAAAAAAAAAAAACCAAATACATTATTCTAAACACTGTCAAAATATTGAAATGCATACGATAATATCGAATTTTTTTTTACTATTACTATTTTTTTACTTTTACTATTAGTTTTCATTGAAACGCATGGAATAGTACATATTTTTGCAATTTTATCAAAATACATTAAAAAAAAATAAATTTGGACTTTAAACGTTTACAAAAAAAAAATAACTACATTATGCTTAACTTTATTTTATCACTAATTTTAATTCTTGATTAATTAAATTTTCAAGAATTTTCGCTGGTTCAAAATCATTTTAATCACTTAAAATCAATTGAAAATCGAACATTTTTAATATCTATAAATAACTGAAAAATGTCTAGATTGTTTGAAACAGTCTAACAAACTGTCTTAAAAATTATACAATGTCTCAAAAGAATTGCAAATATGTATTCAGTGAAATGTCCGGTCGCTACGATTATTTTCCGCTGAATTATAATGAAAAAAATACCAAATCGAATATAACAGAAACCATTATTGTGTAAATATAAAAGTTTTCTCGGGTTTTTTTTTTTCCAATTATCAAGAAAACAACGGGGGAAGTAAACGAATGTCTTCAATGCACAAATTAAACAATACCTATTTTCAACCAGAGACAATTATAAAAAAAAAAAAAAAAACACACACACCATAGTAAGATTCTAAAATAAAAGTTGATCTAAGCAAAAACTTAGTCTGCAGTGCCAGTATTGTTATTTAGTAGGGTTGTTTTTTTTGTAAACTATTAATTGCTAAATTATATTTGAAAATTGGTATGAAGAGATTGAGGGTTGCATTTTTCGAATTCGAACATTATCCAAGTGATGCCGAATGAGGCACTGCCTCAGCTACAATTATATTAAAATAAAATATATTCTTCGTGTGAACTA